ATTAGGTTTAATGTTAAAAATGCATTTCTTTAAATAAAATGATTCAAAAAATAAATCAAAGTGAACCTAAAGACTAAGAAATCACTGAAACTTTAAAACAACAGAGACAGAATAAGTAAGTCTAGTAAATAAGTTGTAATTAGTTATTCATGAAATTTAACCCTATTGAGACAGTGAGTCCTGAACAGGTTATTATTGAGAGAAGAGGGATTATTTCAGACTATTAATGGAAAAAATCTGTTGACAATAGTTCAATAAAACTGCGACAGACTGGCAACCTGTCGCAGGTTGTCAGAGAATATTACAAGTTGTTTTAAATTAATCACTCTCTCCTATTTTCAATAAATTTAAAAACATATCTACATTTTTTCCCCACATTGTTATAATTGAGTATTTGTGTAAAATTTTGAGGAAAGACATTAATTTAATTCAATCTGGAATAAGGTTGAAATGTGGAAAAAGTGAAGTGCTGTGACTGTTTCCTGGATTCACTTTATAAGAAAGTGACACACATCACAATATAAAGTAAACAAACCCTATAGAAGAAGCATAAATACTTCACAACTTATAACCAGCATGCTTTTCATGTACTTCTTTAGTTTTTGTTTCAGGATTTCTTTGGTTATTTTTCTTTGGTTTCAATTTTGCCAGTGACTGATATTTGTTCCCCCAGAGTTTCCAGCCAGTCTGCTTTGCTTTATAGTCAAGTTTTAGAAAGCTGACTTACTGCTCTAACAGCACTTTGCCTAAACACGTCACTTTCTCGTTACTTCTGAAAAACAGACTACAATTAGAAAATACATTTAATTTGGAGGCCATCAGAGTAAAGGAGGCTGAACATAAATGCAAATGACATGTTTTTATCTCAAACAAAAAACTTCCTTTACAGTATGTGGAAGATTGTTGTTTTGTAAACAAAATGTGAAAAGAAGTAGGGTTATCAATAATTTTACAGTCTTGATAAAAACACTCACCTTAATGACTTGAACCTTCTCCATGTTGCGTGTAGCAGCATCTCTGGTGTGCACAAGCACTGTGAAAGAACAACCTGAGACAGAAACAACACATTTCTCTGTTTTCATCATTTCAACATCTTTTTACTGCTGCCGACTAGGCCTGTCATAATTGCAAATTCCCAGAAACGACTGCGATAAATAATAATATTGTCACTTTGAAACCATTTTCAGCTAACATGTTGATAATGGCTTATAATGCAAGTTCAGCTCTCTAGAACATGGCACACTGGAACTGGAAGACATTTTAAAAATCAAAATAAAACAACTGAAAAGAAGAAATAAGACAAGCAAGAAAATAAAAACCGAACAACCAAAACCATAAATAAAATGGATTATGGATTATCAACAAAATCGCCCTTCAAAAAATATTCACCACCACAATGGAAATTAGCAAGATAAGTTTAATTTATCATGTGGATAATTAATTGTTTGTTGCGACAGGCTCACTGTTGACTTATTAAATCAACTTTAACACATTATGATTATTTTTCTATTTGTGTTTAGGAGCTTATAATGATAACTCCTCTCACCTGGGGGGTTGTTGTTTAAAACAGCGTCACACACACTGATCTTCAGGATGAACGCTCTCAGCAGCTGCTCCACGTGTGACAACAAAGTGTCTGAGCTGTGCCAATCAATTACTCCAGTTAGTGATCACAAACACATTTAAAGTGACTTGACAAAAGGCAGCTGCTGTTTGGTATTGCTGGTCCAAAAAGAGGCTGGAAACCTGATTGAGAGCAGAGGAGGTTGGGAGATCTCAAACACAAATCTCTCGACCGGATGATGCTCTTTGTCCATGATGACCACGACCACCTTCTCTGCGTCGTTCTACGACGTAAACATGATGAACCATCAGCACCGTCACAGAGAAAAAAACAAGCCGAACTCGTCTTACCTTCTCGATGAGTGGCTTCACACAATGTAAAGTGTCTTGGATGTACTGATTCAGCTCAGGGTGACAGGACATCTGAGGATAATTGTGCCAAAAACAGAAGACAGTCAAGCAGATCCGTCTTAAGACGTGTCATGCATTTCTTCAGAAGTCCCTACCTGCACAGGTACGTTGTATTTCTTCCTCTTCTGAAAGATTCCAGAGGGATAGACTTCACGCACATACAGGATGAGATGAATCGCAACCTCTAGGAACTCGCACAAAATATCAGCAACCACTGGAAGAGAGGAGTAACCCTGAATCAGGCCACTTATGCACTGTTTAAGGGAGCAGGATGGCAGACATGAACCAAACTGCGACACAAAGTTATTTAATGATGTTACATTAGTCAAATCAAGTAGTAATAAACATTAGCAGGAAACTAAAACTGCATTTTGGGACATCGTTAGCAAAGCATGGAATCTAGGAGTGTAAATACTTGTATAAGCCACATTTTTTCTAAAGAAATCCAATCAAAACAGCTGAAGTTTGTGGTTATAATGTGACAAAAGGTGGAAAAAAATGTCAAGAGTTTTACCTACTTTTACTTGGCATTGCACAAGAAAGAACAACAAAAATGAAATAAACACTGTTTCTCATTCACATGGTTGATGTAAAATACTGGCAATATTTAGCCTCCAATATTTAGGTTTTAGAAAAATGACTGAACCCCATGAATGGGTTTGATTTGATGTTAAAATCAGCTAAAATACCTGATTCTCTGTGAATCCTTAACTTGTTCTTATTGTTCAGCATAAGAATGAAACAGCTTAGTGATAAACTCCAGAACCATCACACAAATCTGATGTTCTATTTTATAATAATAATAAATAGCATATATACTATAGAAATATATGCTACAGTTTTAAAGCATATATTTCATCTAATAAGCTCAAATTTTGTTCATGCCCTTTATGAAAACAAGGACAAGATATGAAATGTGCTGCTGTGTTTACTCAGAGCACACAGCTAACAAAAAGAAAACAGTTTCATTAGGTTGGCTGTCTCACCTTGTCCAAAGTTCAGGTCTTGTCTTGTCAGGGTTGTCATTGTTTATTTCCCAACAAAGAGAACAGAGGAAAAATGTTTCTCCGGCTCGCTCTGCCTGGGAAGCTGTGAAATATCTCTAGCTGCTAGTTGCTTCACATTCCTCTTCTGTGTCGATGTCTGGTAGAAATGTCAAGAATTAGAATGACTTCCTGTGATCAGACAACAGTGACAGCAACGCAAACAAACTTATTATCTTAAGAGATATTATCAAAAGAGAGGCTAATTCCGTGATGTTGCCTCGTGGCGCACGTGAATGACGTAGCTCCCCAGTTGTCCAACAATGATGACGTAAGCTCAACAGATGACAAGGTTTTTTTTTTTTTTTTTTTACTTTATTTATTCCAAAAAAAACAACAATACAATTGTATTGTGAACATAACACAGTCAGACAATAATAATACTTAACCAGGGGGAGTATCAGATGAAATTTTACAATAAGAGAATGACATTACAGAATATTAACATAAGAGGTAATCCAAAAGTCCAAGTTGATTGCAAGCCCATATTGTTGATTCCGCTCTTTGGTTGGTTGAGGATTGAATTGTTAATAAATAATGTTTAAGTTCAATTAAAAAAACAGAAAAGTTTGGTTTTTTTCTTCAAAAATTTGCATTTATGTAGATGAAATTTAGCCTTAATAATTATTAAATTGATAAGGAAACTTTTCACATTCATTCCTCCATTTTGTTGAAGTCCAAATAAGACGTTTTCCCAATATAACTGAAAGCCTGTTGATATTTTGTAATCAATAAAGTTACAAAGATGTTGCCAAAAGACTTTAGAATGAGGACACAACCAGAACAAATGAGTGAGCGACTCTGGGCAAACGTCACAGAAGGAACAATTCACATCAATGTTAGAATTGAATTTCTTTAGATAAACTTTAACGGGGTATATTCGGTGAATGAGTTTAAAAGAAACTTCTTTCACCTTGTTAGTGAGAAGAAAGTGATTAGGGAGCAGCCAGATAAATTTCCAAGACAGAGTAAAACAAAAGCGATTCCAATAATGGACAACCACAGGAACAGAGGTCACGTCCTTCAGAAACAGGGATCTGATCGACTTATTATTGTTACGAGGAAAAGGATTCAGACATATTTTGCCAACAGGAGAACGTATAGGAGATAGAAAAGAAGACTGAAAATCGACTCTCGGCTTCTGCCTGAATAGCATACAGATCTTTGTAGAAATGGCACCAAAAACTTTTGCATATTCTCCAGGAGAGACAGGAAAATTGAATTTACAAAGAAATTCTTCATAAGTCAATAATAGACCATCACTGTTAAACAACTGGTCAACCAGAACAACGTTACGATTAAACCAGGAATCAAAAAATATAGTTTTCTTCTTATATAAAATGTCCTTATTATTCCAAATAAAGTACTGGTGAGGAGAGAAGTTATGTTTGTAGATGAGTAACCATGATAAAAGGGCCTGCCGATGAAAGTTAGAGAGGTGCAACCTTTCTTCCGTGTTTTGTGCTTTTTCTAAAAGTCCATTAAACATTTTGGAGGTTGTGGTTGTAATGTGGCAAAGTCTGAAAACAGATGTAAAGTAATTTGTATTGTATGGGAACATGCTACGAAGAAACGGCAATTTTTATGCATTTTGCTTTTCACATGTGAAGAGTAAAGTGTGGAAAATAACATGTATTGCCATTTTAAACTGATTTTTTGGATAAATGCTCGACAATTCCAAATCCAAACCAATATAATTCTTTGTTTTCATCTTCTGTTTCTTAAAAGCAGTGCATCTGTAAAATAAAATCAAAATTAAGTTGCATGTTCCTAGTATCATTAGACTGTTCTACAAAAGAAATTGAGAATAGGATTCGGAACACTGCTAATAAATACGAAGAAAAATTCTGATGTGTGGTCCACATCTACACATTTCTAGCACAGAGAAGTCAATGAAGTCTTTTATTTTGAAAATCTGGCTGGGTTGATTTTACAACCTGTTTAGAGTTGAAGCCAAAGATCAACCACAACCTGTAACTCTATGCGAGAAGGTAGATGAGCTTTACTTTATGCAGATCTGTCAGGAAATCATGGCAATGAGGTGACACTTTCAGATGGTAAACACTGTGGTCTCACTTCACAAACCTCTTAATTAGAGGCCATGTTTCACATTGATATAACCTGCATGTGGGATTGCTGTTTTTTACATGCCTAAACTGTTCACCCTTCTGATGAAAGTGAAATGGTTTTGATTTTACGCTTGGTACAACTCGGAGAGTCTTCTCTTCTGTAGAAAATGCTGCAGACTGGAGGAGTGTTCACTTTTCACCTAGTTTCTTTGCTTCTTCACATATTAACTATCCAACAGCTGGCCATGGTGGAGTTTGCACATAAGCTGCTGTAAATGCATTGCTGTGCATGACCGTTGAAAGGGCACAAATACCCGGATCTCCTTGCAGATTGTGAAGTCATGCCGTTTTTGGAATTCGTAGCTGGGAGCATTTCTGGTAGAAACATACTTGTGAAGCAAATGCAGCACGATGCTTGAATGGCTGATGTAACGACGTCTCGCTTGCTGGCTTTTGCAGGTGCAGTGGGAATTGCAGTGGGACATCCGCTGGACACAGTGAAGGTTACATGGAGCTCTGAAACCTGTTCATGCGTCACCGTGTCTAAATCATGCTTTTGATGGAACAATGTTTTATCTGCAGGTGCGTCTGCAAGCCAAGTCTGTGTATAAAGGGATATTTGACTGTGTGACTAAGACATACTTGAACGAAGGCGTAGGTGGCTCATCCTTTGTTTTGTTTTATATTTCTGATTAAGCACAAACCTGTTGCAATTAGGATCATGAGGTTGATGTTAATGTTTTGTATCTTCTCTATCAGTTCTATGGATTCTTCAAGGGCATGTCTTTCCCTGTTTTGACCACTGGCCTCGCCAACTCCATTGTCTTTGGCTCCTACAGTAATGCTTTAGATTACCTCTCCCCGTCTGATCGTCGTCTCAGCAGCCACTGCAAACAAGTGTCTTCACTGCAAGTTTTTACTGCGGGTTGCTTTTCAGGCATCGTGCAGGTAAGCTCACTCATCGGGTCATTGGTCTTCTTACAGAGCCTCAGGTGGATTTATGTAGCTGGGATTTTGTTACAAGAAGATTGTTCTTGTAAAGAACATAAAGTGTGAAAGCAAGCAAAAGCGTATTAATTGTGACATTAATTTTAATATGATTAAGTACAGGCTATAAGTAAGAAAGAAGTGGATGATGTCTTATAGATTTTTACATTGCTAGAAAGTCTGCCCATCTGGAGTGTAAGTCAAAACACAAATGCAAATGCTTAATGCATTACATTAAGGCTTCAAACAGCAAAAACTTATTAAAGTTGGATTTAAAAAAAAAATTTTTTTAGCTAATTTAAATCATTTATTTAATTCGCCTGCAGATGGCAGCACATGCCCAAAACTCAACTGTTACCAGAACAATAACTTTTTTGTTGTTTTTTTTATGAAAATTAAGGACAAAAAGAGATGTACAAGAAGTTTTTAGTTGGTTTTGGGTTTAATATTTTAATGAGTCAATTTATATTTATGCCATAAAAAGTAGTGGAGCTTTATAGAATTTACCATTTTGAATGATTGCACTTATTTCAATACCACAGAGAGACAACCTGATTAAATGTCAAAAAGCTTTTTTTTCTTTTTTTTTTAAATAAGGATTTAATTAATAAGGACTAAAGGGTATCTATCCCAACTTGGCCCTATTTTAAAATATAATAGCCCCTGAAACCAACCATGACAAAGATGTGTCAGATAAAATTAATCAAATGTAATTGTTGATTTAACAAGAGGGAAGTTATATTTTCACATTTGTTTGGAAATCTCTTCCTCCTAATACACAAAATCATCACTTGAAATGTACATTATTATATTCATTTACCATAACTTAATTTCTTTTCTAACTGACATTGAAATTTGTTCGGCGATCTGAAGCATTACAGATTTTCATGGGACAGTAAGCGACAATGTGCCAAAAATACGTTCAACAAATTACGTCTTCAGTCATTTGAGTGGATTATCCCTTTAAAATTCTCTGCTTCCAGGTGCTGGTTTGTGCCCCGATTGATCTGGTGAAGGTGCGTCTGCAGGGTCAAACCAAAGCCGAGCGGTACCGTGGGCCCATACACTGTGTGGCAGTCATACTCCAACAGGAGGGGGTCCGGGGTCTCTATCGAGGAGGGGCGGCTCTGGCTCTGAGGGACGTACCGTGCTACGGACTCTATTTCCTGCCTTATGAGCTCATTCGTAAGGCCCTGACTGAGACCGGAGAAGAGCCAGGTCAGGCTGAGCTCTCTGACACAAGAAATCATGAGTCAGTCAGACTATATTAGGATGAAAGCCAAATAATGTAATTATTGTTCAATATATCAGAATAAAAAATAAAAAAAAAATCATGTACTTGAAAAGAGTCACATTCAGATGGTTCATATTTGCTGTTTGCACAACTACTAATATATTAGCACAGCAAACACAAGAGCTAAATGTTGCTAAATGTAACCAAGACCAATGACTGGCTTTCAAAAATGACCAAAAAAAAGTCGAAAGTTAGGCCAGAAAGTCTATTATTGGAGTGAAAATTACAGATCAGCGGTTATGTGGCTTCTTTGATGTGTGCACAGGAGGATCACAATAAACTACATATAATAATATTGACAATACTTCTTCCACTGGCAGATTATTTCACTTAAAACAAAGCATTTTCCCAAGACACTGTTAAAAGTGAAATAATCTGCCATTGGTATTAGTACTTTTTCATCAATATTAAGAAATTATTAACTTAAAACAACTCCTATATCTTGTAAGTCAGTTTTGTCTTATTTCAAGTGTACTATGCTATTTGCACTAGAGACCAAAAGTACTTGGTAAGAGTTTGTGTTTTCGAAGTGAACACAAAGCTACAACTCAGGCAGCTTCAACAGAATTTACTTTACTTTCTGTACTTTTGTTTGAACAAAATTTAGACATTTCCCTTCCACTTCACATTGGAAGGGAAAATAAATTAACTTATGAATAGTCTCTATTCATAAGTTCATTTTATCATATTATTTTTACTTTTTCCTTTTCAAGCGTGTTAAAATTCGTCTTTTGCATTCCTTGTTTATATCTGTTGTTTTATACTGCTGTTATGTTCGAAATAATTGAATAAATAAAATAAATTGTGTTAGTCCATCACGTCAGATGAAAAATCTTTTGGCGATGATGTGATGAAAGGTTGAACATTGCATTTAGCGTGATTTAATTTTGAAACACCGACCATCAAAGATCTCCGCGATTTCCAAAGAGAATGCTAAGGTTTCCTCCGTCTTCAGGTACCTTTGCCATACTGATGGCAGGAGGCGTGGCAGGCGTGGTGACCTGGGCATGTGCCACGCCCATGGACGTTGTGAAAGCTCGGCTGCAGATGTCCGGAGCCGGTGGTCGGCAGTACAGCGGGGTCCTGCACTGCATAAGAGTGAGCTTGAAGGAGGAAGGAGTCAGAGTCTTCTTCAAAGGCCTCCTGCTGAACTGCGTCAGGGCGTTCCCCGTCAACGCCGTGACCTTTCTGACCTACGAGAGTCTGCTGAAGAGCTTCTGTCCATCAGGCAAATAAGAAAACTGTTTTCAGTAAATGAAACAGGAAGTTTTCAAGGTGACATTGCAAAGAGATTTAAAAATCTGTCCACAGATCCAGGCTAAAACAGCCAAAGTTTGTCTTCATATTAGGTAGTGTGTGCTCTGATGAAAGCTAAACAAAGCTAAGCAACAGAGAATCCAATATTTTTACTCTAAAATGTTTTCCATGTTGCAGGTGTGCAAATACTCTTCCTTTCAACATCAAAACCTATTATTACCGAACTCTTAGGTTAGATGGTCAAGTATTAAGAAATAAGTAAAACGAAGCCATCGCAGCAAAAGTAGCAAAACTAAAAGTGACACCCTTCATTCTAAACTATGTGCACTGTACATAATCATTACAGATTACTTTAGACATGACTGGACTCTTGTTTCATTTATTGTTATTAATTTCTTCAGGTTTAGAAAACCTTGTAAAATGTCTTTTAGACGCACATGCATGAATTATTTGGCTTTGCCAAGTCCTTTGGTACAAATGTGAACCTTTAAAGATTTCTGTTGTTACCACACATCTACCTCAAAGATGCTAGTTCTGCGCTCTTCTTGCAGATTTGGATGATCCGTTAGGCCAGTCCTAATCCCAGAACATTTGAAATGTTGTTTTCTAACCCTGAAGGTTTTATTACAAGCCCTCAACATGTAAGATCTGAATTTATGTGTTGAACTAGTTTTAGACTTTCCAATCCGATGAGATTTGCCTTTAAAGGGGTCACCAATGCAAAACACTATTTTTTTTCTGCACACAACTTTCAAATACACTTTATGCTGTAATTCTCTAAAATAATGAACTGTATTAAAAGGGTTACTTTTTATTAGTGTTTTTATTTTTTTGTCCTTGAAAACATGAGAATTATTTTGGTCAGATAATGAAAGGCAGAACTTTTACTTATTAAAGTCTGTTTTGGTATGTTTATAAACTCTTACCATAGTTTAATTGCTTTGAAATAAAGATTAAGTTACTCAAGTCATATAATCAACCTTGTCAGCTAAATATGACTGTGTGCAATCACAACCCAACCTTTTCACCCATGCAATTTGTATAAGTGAGTTCTAAACCAGGTTTCTGCGGCTACGGATCCACATCCGACTCCGGACCTTTGACAATGGCTCTTAAAAAGTGCCTAAAAATGCTAAACAACTTGAATTTTAAAAAGAGATAAAACAAAAGTGTGTTTTATCTCTTTTATTGTGTTTTATTTCACAGAATTGCTTATAATTCCCATGACAGAATTACATTATTTTTTATTATGCTAAAAACTTTGTGCAACTAGCAACATCCAAGTAAGAAAATGTGGTCATTATCCTTTTGAAAGTTTGCTTTTCTTTGCATTAAAACCTAAATAGGAGTGAAGTTGTTGCTCTTTAAAAATAACTTTCTGTAGTGGAAATTTATCAAAAATTGTCATTTTTCAAACGGTTGGGTAATATTTATTTACAAATATTAAACAGATTTAATATTTGCTCGACTGAGGCCAGGACTTGCAAGCTGAATAAACGACTTAGACAACCTGCTGCAGGGAGAACTTTTATTTTTCTGTAGTGAACAGCACATTGATAAACTCTGATAGATTTACGGCCTTAGTTTGGAAAATTCAGATCTACAGCTTATGGTTGGTTGTTTTCACCTTCTTTATTTAAAAACAAATGTAAAGTTTGAAGACAACAAAAACATCCTCATCTGCTTATGTGCACAATCCTGAAAACTGTCGAGCCATAATCAAAAAGCAGCAGCGTAAAGTGAAGGCTGAATGTTGATAAACGTTCGGTTCTTTCAGCTGTAAATCTGATCACAAAGGAAAATATAAAGCTGCACCTTTTGGCACAAAACTTCATGAAAGAGTAGAACAATAATAGTGATAATGATTGATAACCAGTGTGTCATAAGACCCTTTGCCAGCATGACTATGGTCACAAAGTCCTTATCTATACATTTCTTTTTTTATACAGAAACAAAAACAAACATTTACATGACAGAAGCATTCTTAGAATGCAAATCATGGCTTTCTAATATTTCACATTTCCTATCAATGTATCAAGCCAAACAACAACAAAAATTCAGGCACCAAAGACTCTTTCACTTATTATAACCTTCAATGAGTTTTTAAGGGCGCACCGGACGATGCAGTACTGACTGCACAACCCGTGAGTTTAAAAGCTGCAGCTCCGACACTTTTAGCAGCGTCTCTACCACAGATGAAGAACCAAGCAGTGCTTCCCTGAGCTTCTCATGTTGACTGCTTTAATAAAAAAAAAAAGACATAAAAAAAGGACGCTCAAAGGGGTCATGAGGTTAAGAAATACTGTTTGCCTCGTTCCACGGGAATGTTGAAGGGTTTGTCTCCATGAAGGCCGTCTTTATCTGGAATATGTGGCATTTAATCGTCACTTAGTCTGTGAGGGCTCAAAGTCCTGGTCCCGCAGGAGTGCTTTGTTGCTCTGCTCGGCCACCATCGCCTGCAAGGTTTCCCTCTGGATCTGCCGGGCTTTGTTGTACAAGAGGACGCCGAAGAAGACGACGACGGTGCCAGTGGCGCTGAGCAGGGTGATCTGGTTGCTGAACACGATGACGCTCAGCCAAACCGACAGGGCGTGCTTCACAGTGCTGGCGACACTGAGGACGAGGCAAAGTGTTTGCTGCTGGTTTTGAAATCTCAAGCTCACCTACAGAATGAACCCTAGCCCTACGCTAAGTTGGATGGATATTCAGATCATGTATTCTTGTCGCCTGTACACTGTGAAACCATACCTACATTTCCATTTTAGATTTGTGCATCTACAGGCTTCTGCAAGTCAAATTTAAGACTTTTTAATGCCGCCTCAAATAAAAGTTGAGATAGAAAACTATAAATATAAGGGATCGTCGAGGGGACTTACTGAATTACAATCAATATTATTGTACTGATTGCAAATATTACTATTCTAATCATACTTCTCTTCTGTCTCAGCAACCATATGGATGGTGAAATCTTAACAATCAGATATAATCTAATGTATGAATGTATTACAGTTTCAGCTGCTGTGTGCTGAGTGAAGATCAGCGATAGAAGAGGTTCTGCGGTGCTGACGTTCACCGCAGATATGAATACGACAGCAAAGGATCAGCACATTGCATCTCTCAATTCTGCTGACTCATGGCAAACAGGTCAAATTCAAAGCAAGGAAGTTACTTTGAGTAAGTTTCCTTCACCCATTTAAACCACATTTCTGAATACCTCAAATGAGAACGAGCACCAACGTGCTCATTTCTCCACACACCGTTAAGCAGCATTTTTGTTATGAGTATGAACAGCGATGAGATGCATCTCTAATGCGTCTTATTTTCACTACATCTTCTTTGCATTTTAATTTGGCATCCGCTGTGAGCTGCTCTTAGATTTGTAGTTATTTCCTGCTATGTTTTCAGGTTTCACTCAAACTCAAAGGAATAATCACAACGATCAATTTGGCTTTCTGACAGCCATCACAGATGGCGTTTGATTTTTCCATTTCTCAACAAACCAGCAAAACCAGTTTTTTTAACTCTCTCTTAAAATAAGAATGGGTCATTAGGACCAAACTGTGGTGTGCATTAGGAGGGAGTACATGTGACCACATACGACACGTTATCTCAGGATTATGCCCAACTTCAACTGGACTTTGTTGCGCTGGAGATAACGGTGAACATGTTCAATAACTGGAAAGCTCACTTGATAAAGTCAGTTGTAAAATGTTAGAATAGGTCAAAGAAGGTAAATGAAGCCAAAATAAATGGTTCCCAGTAAGCCTGTCACAATAAGCAATACGTCAATTAACTGCAATGTAAATTAAAATGAGTGAGATCATTTCCATTTGGGCAACAGTGGTTAACGAGATGCTCATCTTAAATGTCGTTGAAAAGCCACCATTTTGAGAAACTCTGCAAACATTTGTCAACCAGCATAAAGTATTTATTTTGCACTGCCTGCCACTTTTACCTGTTTTTCCCCAAATAATCATTATTTTGCCTAAATCTAATTTTGGCTACAGAGACTTCATAACTTGTTTTAATTATTGTTGTTTCATCTTTTTTGTTAGTTTATTTTCTATATTTATAGTGTCAAACGTTAATAAGCCATTATTATTACTACTGCTATGCATTTTGAGACATTGCTGTCTCAAAATGACAGTAATGTCCTTTATGCCAATCATTTCTGGGACAATTTGTGGTTCACCAAAACGTATCATCCTGACAGGCCTGGTTCCCAGTGAGAGTTTGTGGATTGGCGCTACCTGAAAGTGACGGGGGAAATCCGGCCCATCAGGGCGTAGGCCGTGACACTCTGCAGATGAAACAGACCGCCGTCAAAAAGCAGCAGCAGGACAATGTCCTGATTGAACAAGAAGCTCTGTCCACTCTTCCCAGCTGCTGGGGCGTCCTGGAAACATGGAGGCAGGAGTCGTTAATTATTCCATCTGTACTTTTTCAGTCTTATCAGTCATCAGTGGAGAACTTTGACCTCAGCAAACAGAGCTGGACCGATACGTCGCCTGTCCCATGTTTTTGGATGCCGTCGCTTTATAATCAAAACCTTCCATGAGATTTTATCTGAGCAATTTTGTGTTGCTGGAACAGCTTCGCACCATGTTCACTTTTCTCGCAACTAAAAGTTGGAAAAGTGTGGCAAGCATTTCAGTTTATTTTAATGGAACTATGGCTTCTAAAGATATTTAATTAGCAGCATCAACAATTCAGATGAACATAAATAAGGCAATGTGTGTTTACTCACCAGGAGGAACAACCAGGCAGGGATCAGCATAATGACAGCTGCTGCACTGGTGTAAAACTGCAGTTCTGGGGGGCTACAACAAAAGCAACACTGATTTAGAGAGTCTTTAAAACACAATGTTAAAAATGAGGTGATTTTTTGTTTTGTTTTTATTCTTCTACCTAAATCTGTATGTGTCCCCACTCAGCAGTTTCTTGGAGAAAACGTTCTGCAGGCTGGGACAGAGAAATGAGCGGTTAGTCAAAGTGTTGGCAGCCGAGAAGCGGCTGCGTGGAGCGAGCTCTGAGGCAGAGACCAGTCCATGATGTTGGTGGAGAGCGCGGCGCAGAACCCCAGCATGTTGAAGCTGATCTCCGACGCCGTGCAGAGGGCCAGGCCAGCCATGACAGGAAACAGGGACAGGTTCACCCAGAGGCCTGAAGATTTAAAAACAAATAAATGAGTCACCGCTCAGGTTGTCTGCAGGTTTGAGCAAGTCAGATTTAAAACTTTTCATGCCACATTGAATCAAAGATATGTATAATAAACAGGATGGTTGGGAAATCCTGCTGGATTGCAATCAGGAATAGCAACTGTAACATTTCTGGGGTCTATTTCTGACTCTTGGTAGCTGCTTCGTGTTTTTCACAGCGCGTATGGCTCTCGACAGCCTAACCTCCCCAGACTGTCACAATTAAAAGTTTCTTTTTTTGCACTGAAAATACTCAGAAGACAGGTATTAGCTGGCAAATGTCATCCAGTCAGCCAGCAATAAATTTGCAATTCCTCCTGCTGTAAGCAAAAAAGCCAGCTAACAAGGGTATATTAGCAGTTAGTTAGCAACTGCCTCGAGTCACAGTGAATGAATTTTTGCCTTACTGAAAACTACATATATAAGGTTAATTAGTAATGCCACGACAAAATGCAAGATTTGACGTATTATAAAAAAAAGGCCAACTTGCACTTTTTTTAATGACATTTTAAGGCCTTCATTTTAGGTACATTCATTTTTATAATGAAATTAAATCTGGTGTCGTTCTGATTTGAAAAGGAGCAGTCAAGTAGACAAATAGAAAACAACGCCTGAT